TATATATATATATATATGCTTTTCTTATCGCACTGAAGTATCAGGAACTAAAAAATCGTTTGAGGCGATTCGAAATTTCAGCTTCTTCTCATAATCGCGAAAGGAGTACTTTTTATCTTGTTTTTGCCTTCTATGAACATGATCTCGCCGGGCTCTTGTCAAATTCGTCTGTCAGACTTTCACTTGTCCATATTAAAACGCTTATGAAGCATCTGCTTGAAGGTCTTTACCAGATCCATTTTGCTAAAATTTTGCATCGTGATATGAAGGTAATCTTTCTTATAAGATTTCAGTTTTTACCCTTGCGAGAATGATCTAGATCTCGAGTTTCAAATACCCCGCTGTAAACACACTTTCTTGACCGAAAGTCTGTATTTGTCATCTTCCGTATTGCGTATAAAATGAGCATTGAGCGGTCTTTTTTACTTGTTCAGTTTCGTCACCTTCCTTGTTGTCATTAATATTTGTAATGCTTTATGTTGTTCTTTATTTAGGATAGAATCCTTTCGAAACGTATGCGTGAATAATAACAGGAGTTCAAAAGTTCTGGTCAGATAAAATTTGATAATTAAGAGTTTCAGGCTGCAAACGTTTTAATTTCTAAAGAAGGTATTTTGAAGTTAGCCGATTTTGGTCTGGCGCGACCACTTTTCCCTCACCTGCCAGGTGTTTTTTAATTATTTCGCAGACGCCTTTTGGTAACCAACTATAGCTTCCTGCTTTAGGACAGCCTGAACATTGTTACACGAACCGCGTTGTAACACTTTGGTACAGGCCACCAGAACTTCTGCTGGGTGAGAGGCACTACGGGCCTCAAATCGATATGTGGGGTGCTGGTTGTATAATGGCGGAGCTTTGGACACGAGCTCCAATACTTCAAGTACTGTTTACCCTCTCTAATAGCCTTTTGTATTGTATTTCTCCCGGTTACTTTTTTGATCTGCCCAGGGAGAAAGTGAACAAAAACAATTAATGTTGATATCTAACTTATGTGGGAGTATAACGCCTGAAGTGTGGCATGGAGTTGAGAACTTGCCTTTATATGGAAAAATGGATTTGCCACAGAATTTGAAGAGGCGAGTAGTGGAACGACTAGAACCTTACGTTCGAGTAATTCTTCTGTTCCTATTCACTGATAACTTTAACCACTGCCTTTTACCCCTAGACACCATTGATCTCATCTTATTTTTGTCTTTCCTTCTATCATCGCAGGTCTTGACTCTTTAAATGTTCAAAAGTATTTAGTTAGGAAGAGAAAAGTGAGTTTGCTAATATACATTAGAAGTATTATGTGCAGGACAAACTCGCTTTGAGTCTCATCGACAACCTTCTCTCGTTAGATCCTTCGCAGCGCAAAAGTGCAGAGTCAGCTCTTGACCACGAATTCTTCTTTTCGCAACCGAAACCCGCGGCTGACGTCCGCGACCTAACAAGCATGATCTCGGTATTTTTTCGTTCAGTGTTTTTTTTTTTTTGAACAGTCTGTTGTCCCAAATTGTTATTCCGTTATCAGTTTGTTTTTTTTTTGTAGACAAATTTATTTGAGTACACAGCCGGTCGCGGGGCTCATAGTGGTCGCGGACGTGGACCTGGCAACCACGGAGCTAGACAAAATAGCCGAGCCGCATTTGCTGCCCAAGGGCAGTACGTTGACATGATTTTCTGAGTAACAAGAAAGGGAAGTTGTTTGTACAGTTATTCGCCAACGGGTGTGATTTTGCTTCTCTTTTAATGTTCCTGTTGACCTCGGAAGCTGGTTCTGTCATGCTCACCTGACTGACTGACAGAAGACTGAGGGACCTCCGAGTTTACTCACTGAGAGGTCTGAAGAACCAGCTTTTGCAGGTTCCCAGAGGTTACTTCCTGTGCCCCAACCCTTCCTATGCCCCTTACGCGGCCTAATATCAGCAGATGCGTCCAGACAGCCGTTTGAGTCATCTAAACCTGGCGTGCTGATTCAGGAAGTACTCTTGAATTTAAATCTTTCTTGTCTCGTTTTATAAGTGATAGTGTATGGACAAAAATAAAGAGATAATCAATTTTGAATTGGTGTTTTCCACCTCACTAATCACATTTCGGAAAGACAGCTAAATCGCAAAATTGAGGTAAACGAGACATTAGCTTTACACCACAATATACCCAAATAACGTTGGAAGATTAAGGCACCATATCACCCGGTTACAATATAAATAATAAGGATAGGAACAACGTGCGTGTATATATTAGTTTGTAGTGAGCCATTTACCCGACTTCTAGAAATGAAGCAGGAAGTTTGATATCAATTCCAAAACTTCTCATTAATGTGATGAAAGGGCTCGTGTGGTAATCCTATTCAATAAACAGTCACTGAAAAACGGAAGCTTCGGACATTCAAAAATGCCAGAAAAATCTCTCACCAGCACTCACTATGAGCAAGCTTTTGAAGTTCACTGAAAGGCACATTGGCCAATATTATTAAACTAATGACAACTTAAGCAAAGGAAAGAAGAATTATCAAACAAGTATAGGTATCTGCACCACCAAAAAGGGGGGATTGGTTGATAAAAAGAGCATCACTTCAAGCAACACAAGAGGATGGACCAGCCATTTTGAAAGTTTGTTTCCCGACAATGATAACAACAAAAATGCCCTCATGAATGCATTTAAAACAAATATTAAATTAACGTTTATCTATATGACGAATTTCGTTCTGACTTAGCTTCAGGACCGTTGCAATAGCTTTTAAAATATGCTTCTTCCCAGATGAACTCTCACAATGAAGTAGCTGTATAAAAATATTACGAAGATACTCCATATTTGCATCGCCGCTATAAAATTCCAGTTTACCTAAAATAAAAAAGCTTCATATCCTCTACTGACAAATCTCTAACAGCAGCTGAAAAAATTAACAAAGTAAGTCCTAATGGCGCTGACAGCTTCTGGAATTAAAAAATTTCGCCGCATCTCAGCAAGACCTCAAACGTCTTGACAGCAACTTAGCGTTACCCACCTTCAAGAAGTTTAATTTCCTCTCGTAATTTCTCTACCATTTCGTGATGTAATAAATCTTTTGTGAGAGATGCTTGCTGCGTTTCGCGCGCATTAAATTCTGCCACTTGTGCTGCAGTTCTGAAGAAAGAAGACATTATAACCTTCGAAAAAAAAAACAAATTTTAACACTTTTTAATGCATTGTTGAAAATATACTCTTTAAGATATGCGTCGAACCTCAATTCCGATACTAATTTATCCTTTTTGGCCAGCTCTTGCTCGTAAAACATATTCTTCGCTTCTGTGGAACTTGACACCGCAGGGATCTGGGTCAAAGACCGATCTAAAAAAGTAAGGTAATATAGAGGCCTAACGTCAAAGGTTGAAACCTTCAAAGTTTTTTTTAATTGAGAAAGAATCAAGTAAAAGAAAAAATGGACTCGGTATTAAATAGACAAACAGGGATGAGAGTGCAATAAATGCTTAACAGTAAGATGACAGCAAAACAGACAGAAGAATCATGAAGTATGCCAGGTCACGGTAAGAGAACAGCATACTTAGTTAAATAATATTACTTAGTGATCACTTTCATAGGTGAGCTACAAAAAAAGTTAGTTATCGACTGTAGGCAAGATCATGAAACATGCCAAGAACACTAAAACCTATCCAACAACAGTATTTCAACAAAAAAAGTGGCCCTATCACAATCTCGCCAGTAACCGTCAAAAGTCATCCCTTGTTAGTTAAGATTGTTAGAGTTTCTGGTTAGTTTTTTACCTATCTGAAGCTCATCAACAATGCTGGAGTAAGATTCAGCACCACTTGAAAACCGATGAGTAGAACCACTCAAGCGCGCACTATCTGTAAACTGCTGTTTTTTCCAAATAATTTACTAACACAACAATAATGATAAAAAACTCAGTCCATCAATATTTTCCTAAGTAGACCAAATTGAAATTGGTTTGATATTTGAATAAAAAAAGAAGATTAAAGATAACCAAGATGAGTTCTTACAAAACGATTACTTTAAAAGATTAAAAAAATGCCTACCACAACTTCTTCTTCGCTCGTCTCCTGGACTAGACCGGTCAGGAAATTCTCGAGAACCTGTTTTTCTCACCTTTACATGTTGCCTTGTAGCGCTTATGCTTTGTGGGGGATCCATTGGATCATTCTGATTCAATTTCTGACTACGAACGGATAGCAATACCGTACTAAACAGGACTAATATAAATGCGTAGAAAAAGTTAAAAAGTAATTGAGATTGAAGTTTTTTCAATAAATAGTAAACCAACTTGATCATTTTCAGTTCCTCTTCTTTTTCAGCCAAAATATCCAAAGTACGGGTCCTTTGTTTTTGCATTTCTGCTTCCATTTCAGCAACTGAAATGATCAAATAACTGGGATATGAGATGGCAAAAAATTAGTTAGATCACAAGCTAAATAAATATTATGCACTATTATGCATTCAGATCAAAAATGATAAACTTTTTTTTCAAAATGTAGGTGAAACCGTCTAAAATCTAAAAATTGACATAATAAAATTGCATCTTAGCACTCCAAAATCAGCGAAAAAAAAACATAACAGACTTCGTTGTTGCATCTGATGCCTCAGTTCCACAGTTAAGTTTTCATGAGAAGTCCGCATTTCTGCGATAGTATGTTGCAACTGCGCACACTTCTAAACAACTCAATAAAATAAGTCAAAGAAAATTCAAAAAATTACATCCAGTATAAGCAAAAATATCCTTAACTAGAAAGAGTTCAAGCAGTGCTCTCCAGAAAGTCTATTAACGGTACACAATAAACTAAATATTTCGTAAAGTAGAACTGCTAACAAAGAAATACAACTAGGAGCTATAAGACAAGCTTAAAATACTTCTTCATATTCCCGTTTAGAATTTGCATGGTCAATCTCCATAGTTTGAAGTTTCTCATGCAGCGAAGCAACTACAGAACGAGTGTGGCGTAAATCCGACTCTGTACTAGCACAAGAAGCACATTCAATAACGGTGGGTAAAGACGCTATCCGAGGTATTTCTCCAGCGTTATCGAGCAAAGTAGTCTTAAAAAACAATAGGGAAGTGAGGTAGTATAATCCTTTTCTCATTACCCTATCATTCAAAAAATAACTACAACGTCATTTTGAAGAATAATAAAAAATCGAGCATAAGCGGAAAAATACTGAGATATCTCTGTTTTTTAAAACGGCTTGAGCTTTCAGTTTATATCTTTCAAACTCATCCTGAAGTTGCTCGTATTTCCCCTTCTCCTTCCGAAGAAGGTCCTCAAATCCTAAAAAACCTGAAAAAGATAACCTCAATCCCAAAAACATTAACACTTTTCTAAAGACTTTAAAAAAGCTAGTCATTTATGGAAGAAAATTATAAAGATTCAAAAAGCTTCAAGAATAAAACAGTTGACTTTATGACATAAAACTATACCATCAATATCAATACTTTCTCCAGTGGCCTGCAACTGTTTGATCAAATCAGATATTCTGGCTTTCAACTCATTTGGATCAAGAGAGCCACTGATTTTATTTCCGCCAGACAACTAGAAATAATTAGGTGGAACTTCAAAAACAAAAGTTTTAAAATCAGAAACTTACAAACCACAAAGACTTTCCTCCTCATACCCACAAGATACTTTAAAAGCAAAATTCCTAATCTGGAAACAGTGGCCTACTGAAGACAAGCAGCGGTTCTCTTCTCGAAGCTTGTCGTTTAGCTTTTCCAGTTTCTCCACTTTAGCCATTTCTTCCATCCTCACGCGTTCCACCTCTCCCATCTCTTTAGCCATCACGTGAAGCCTTAGAAAATTATTTTTGAATAATTTTTTGAACAGATAATTGAACAAGAACGGCAGTAATAACTACAAAGGCTTATTTCAAGTAAACCCGGAAAAATTTCAGATTAACGTGGTTGTAGAGGATTGAAAGAAAATATATAAACAAAATAGAATAAAAAGTTGCGTGGACAACTCTGCTATCACCAGTACAATAAAAATCATCTCCAGAGTAAAAAATGATTCAAAAATGCGTTAAATTTTTTTCAGTTATTCAGGAATAATAACAAATGAGTGAAAGTGATATAAGCAAAGTTCCAATTCGGAAAATAACAAGCTAAGCTACCTAGAATTTCTAATTAACTACACCATTCTACGGCCCGCTCAATTTTTTTTATTAATTGACACTATACCAAGTTTGCCTCGCCATAAACTTGTAGGATTTAACCGTATGCACATCATTGCTTCTATAAATGCTATACTGTTGAAGAAGCAAAAGACACCTGTCTTCCAATTCATGTAACCGAATTTCTCGTTCATCACTCGTTTTATAAGATAACCGTGACAGAAGCTCAGTAATCTCCTTCTGGCTTTCTTTCTGAAAGAACTATGCCAGAAAGTAAAACAACAAAGCCATGAAAAAAGCGTCTAACAAAGCCCAAATGAAGTGATTCAGTTCAGTATTTGGAAACAAGCAGAGAAATCAGACGAGTATAAATCAAATGCTCGTAAGGTTTGAAAACTGAAGAATTTTTAACATTTATTTATAGGCCATTCCATGCCCAATCACAATTTTTTTCCTTTCCTATCTTAAATTTTTCTTAAAATTTGCTGATTAATAGAGTCTAGGTTAGTATGAAGCCAAAAAAAAAAACCAGGAAAAGTGAATTCCCCGCCAAGCTGCATCCCCTCAAATTTGCAAAAAATTTGCCAGGTTGCCACTTGACATGCCTATCATCATAGACTTGTAATTTAGTCCGTTTTCGACAGATTTGATAATTTTTTGTTTGTTATATTTTTCAAGCCCTGATCTTCTAAACGCGTGTTTAATAATTTAATTATATTGTAAAATCACAAAAATACAATAAAAATAAAATTTTAAACAAACATTAAAGAAAAACATAGTCTTAAGTTTTTAAAAAAAAACATTTTGTGCAGATTTTTTTGCCCTACAACATATCAAAATTTGGAAATGGTGATTTTTCGTTATCGAGGGTTATGAGCCTAAAGAGGATGTGTGACTGAAAATAATCGGTTGCCGTTACAGTAATGCTATGCATTTTACTGTAGCTCACTATTGCAAACTGCTTCTGGAAACTCAGGAGAGCGGTTATCAAAATTCAACATATCTTTGGTTTCTTAAAATCCGTCTAAAAGTTATTTTTCAAATGAAAATATTGGCAAATTGTTATTTTTCAAACCTGTAGCGAGTTGCCTCTGCTAAAATATCCTCTGCCTCTTAAACTTTCTGTCCTTCTGTAACAATTGAAAACGAATGCTGTTTGGTAAAGATTCCTCCTGCTGCTGATGGCATGTGAGTACGAATTTGTTATGCCCCACTGACTCGGAAAGCTTTAAAAAACCATGGCATTAGTAGCGTTTGCCCTTTTCCGTAGTCTGCTTCCGAGGAATACGCTCTGCAATATTTCGCACAATTTGTTGCGCCCAATTGTAGAAACCTGCAGATGTTAATATTTTGTCAGTTTGAGGCCCTTGAAGACTGACTCGGGCGGCCAATTTTTTCAAGGTTCCTCCAACATTATCGCATGGGCTCTCTTCATGTGCAGTAACAAAGAAGTGCCATCCTGCAGCAATACCAAAATCGGCATTATGAAATATTAACTTGCAGAACTTTTTTCTATTTTTATACTGCGAGACAGCTGCGTCAGAGAAGTAAATTATCTGTTTACGTTGCATTTTGTTTTCAAAAATCGGATTAGATGACATACAAATAGATGAACTGTGACAAAGTCGTGCTTGAGGCAGTCAGAAATGATCGCAAAGCTGCAAAATTGAAGATTCTGACGACAAATCTTTCAAATGTATTGCAATTGGATAAACTGACGCTTGTGTGTTTGTCAAATGAAATGCTTGGACTGCATCTTAAATCACCACTTCATATTTGTCCGAAAAGTCGCAAATCACAAAAGCCTCGTCATCTTGCAGCTTTGTTTTCCTGCCTGTCAAAGAGATATTTTGCTGAAAGGCTATAAGTGAGCGTCGCAAAAGAATTGGAATCCAATCGACAAATTCGGCAATAAATTATTCCACTGAAGCTCTAACCGTTTTTAGATTACAGCAGCCAGTCGCCAACCAGGACTTGTACTCGACACGATCAATAGCGTGTTGCTCGAAATTATTCTCTAGCAACTCAGCAATTTCCTCTATTTTACGACAGAAAATATATAATCCCAGGAAACAATTTTCTCTAACTGGCTGGCACGTCACAAAGTTGAGGAAGTCTTTATAATTTTGTACAGAAACCGTTGGATCCCTAATCAGCTGGTTCAAGTGTACTACTTCAACCATCAATTCGAAGTTTTGATGAATGGATTGTACTCAGATCGAGTGAGTTCCAAATGCACCAGCAAGGACGCAAAGCTTCGGCCTGAACAGTGGGAATTCAAAAAGCCGATCTCCACTTCTGGGTGAGATTTTTTGAAAGCGCAGTGGGCCTCTTCTAAATTACACACAATGAAGCGCTTTTGCACCTGTTTTTTCTCTTCGCCTTCCCGAACAATAATAGAGTCTTTTTTACAAGCCATTACTTTGTTCATATCGTCAAACGTGTAAAAACTTCAAACTGTTGCCACCACTTCTTCGCTCAAAGTTATTCCAGCTTTAAGCTTTGGAGAAATCATTCTTTTTTCGTCAACCAAGTTTCTAGAAGTCCTCGCCATATGAAGCGTGGTCGAAAACTCCTTCTGAACTCTGCAAAAAGATCAGAATTTTGAGAATAAAGTCAGAACGGTTGACTGCACACTTCTACTGGTAGTTGCAAAGAACTTTTCTTTTAACTGTCAAAGACATTCCTCTTCGTCGTTCTGCATCTCTTGTCCACTTCAGCGCCTGCCTTTCCTTGCAAACTTCCTCCTGCAGTGAGCTCTACTACGTACCCGTTTCTTTCCAATCGCAATTTCGTCGATCGACGACAGTCCTTCATTTATAGGAAACACCGACTTGGAAGAACTGGATGACAAACGGAACGATACGAGTTTGCCATATAGCAAAAATCCAATTCAAAGTACTTTAACGAAAACCTGAACAGATTGCAGTTGTACTGAATGGATGGTTCTGCTTAAACCAGCCTTCTCCGTTTCTCACCATTCCTCTGCCAAAATTCTGCAGCTGTTATACATTTTGGCACCTTCAGAAAGTCCAGAAATTTGCTCCTTTAGCCAGTCGGGCGCAGGCCGTAGATTTTTCCTACCGGTGGTATATTTTGGTAATTTCAGAGGATTGCAACAATGGACGTTGAAGGAAGAACGTTGACTTGACTTCAAAATCTCTTACAGAATCAAAACACTAACAGATCGGCTTCCAAACCTGCTTCTGACATCTAACCATACTTTTTTTCTGACTTTTCAAATGCTTAATTTCAAAGCTCTTTGTGTCACAAAGTTCTGGCCCACAAAAGCCATCGTTGTCCAGCTTCTTTGACAACTGAGAAACTGTTGTTTTCTTTCTTTTTCCTTTTTTAAAAGCATGCGCCTGCTTCATCCTGGAAGCGGATCAGTGCATTTTCAAAGCAGACAATGCCGAAGTAACAACAACTTGTTACATCTTTGTCAACATTTGTACAAAAGTCCAAAATCCTCTGCCGTACGCGTTGTCTGCCTAAGAATCCAACTTCCCATCCAAAACTTATCTATGACCTAATGCTGTAATTGCTGTTGCAAAATAATAATTTGCACATATTTTCATTTAAAAGACAACTATAAAAAGAATTTTAAAAAATTAAAAACATATCAAATTTTAATAACCGCTCTCCTGAGCTTCCAGAAGCAGTTTGTAATAGTGAACCACAGTAAAGCGCACAGAATTACTGTAACAACATCCAAATTTTGATATTTGTAGAGCAAAAGGTTCTGCACAAAATATGTTTTTTTTTTTTTTTTTTTTTGAAAACTTGAACCTATGTTTTCCTTTAATCTTTGTTTAAAATTTTATTTTTATTGTATTCCTGTAATTTTACAATAAACTTGGATTATTAAACGCGCGTTTAAAAGATCAGGGCATGAAAAATCTGATGCATGAGAAATCATTAAGTCTGTTGAAAACGGGCTAAATTACAAGTCTATAAATATAGGCATGTCAAGTGGCAACCTGGCAAACTTTTGCAAATTTGGGGGGATGTGACTTGGCAGAAAATTCATTTTTCTTGTTTTTTTTTTCGGCTTTCTCTATACTAGCCTAGACTCCACTAATCAGAAAAACTTAAGAAAAATCTAAGATAGAAAGAGAAAAGTTCGCGATTTAGCATGGAATGGCTCATATATATATATATATATATATATAT